AGTGTACCAGTTGTATCAGTGTGTCTGATGTGTACAATAAGGTGTGCACAGTGTACCAGTTGTATCAGTGTGTCTGATGTATACAATAAGGTGCACATAGTGTACCAGTTGTATCAGTGTGTCTTATGTGTACAATAAGGTGTGCAAGTGTACCAGTTGTATCAGTGTGTCTGATGTGTACAATAAGGTGTGCACAGTGTACCAGTGGTATCGGTGTGTCTGATGTGTACAATAAGGTACGCACAGTGTACCAGTGGTATCAGTGTGTCTGATGTGTATAATAAGGTGCGCACAGTGTACCAAACACACTGAACAAAGTATTTATCGGAAGTGTCACCATGAAGGCATTTGTGTAATGACTTGACAAGAACTATGTTTGAAAGCAGAAATATTGAAGTTATTTTAGAATTATTTTAGGGAAAAGGGATTTTGGTAGTGAATTTGACCTCCATGACCGCTTTCAATACGTGGCAGAAGATTTGAAGCATTTGAAATAAATTCATACGTATATATATGTAAAGGACAGAGATTTAATTTGAGATTGAAAGAAGAGCGCTGGGATTAAACAATTAGCCGATGAGTCACTAATACTGATTGAGCTCCTGGTAGTCAGAGGCACGTACAGTTTTTAATCCTGTAATGCTAGATATTGATCGTGATGACGAACGTATACCACAGGCAAAGAATTACTGAAGGAGTTTAAATTGACCGGTAATATATTTATTTCTTCTGTAGAGTTAGGAAATTAGAAAAGCGAGTTTTTATGTTGAGGAAACGTTACGTAAACTATTGTTAAGACTTCAAAGTCACGTTTTCCTTCACTATGTATGCATATTTATGAAGTGTTAACGTAAAGAATGATGGACAAAGAAATGTAGGAAAGAGCAAAGAAGGCAAAAACAAGGAACGAAGAAAGAAATAGAGAAATAAGAAAAAAAAAAAAGTATGTAAAAAAATCCAATTAATGATTCAAGAAATGAATAAGAAAGAGGGGAGAAACTATAAAAAATCACCAACACATTTTTTCAAATGGCACAGCTGAGGTGTAAGAATACCTAATGCGCTTAGATTAATAAAAAAGTGTCAAAATGTCAAAAAGCTAACATACAGCTAATCTAAGTAAAATGCGCCTTTGTTTCTATTTATTCAAAACTACCAAAAAAATATTTTGAGGGGCTATTAGATAATGAAGCGATTCATAGTTAATTATCGAAAAAATCGCGCATGTGCGGTGATAGGTGCCAAGGTCATCCTCAAATATAGAAATCGAGAGAATCCAAGAAGATGCCTGCGGAAGAGGCTAGACTTAACGAAATCTGCCGGATGACTTGCTTAGATAGTTAGCTGTTCATTATATTCAGATAGTAAGTGACTGACAAGAGAATATCAAGACTTACGTCTATGCCGATTACAAGGCGGATGAACACCAAGGCATGGTACCAGAAGACGTAGAATCTTCCAGTAACTTTGTCGAAACTGAATGCTGAATATCCCGTACACGAGTGGATGGAGTAGAGAATTGATGGTGAGGCTTGATAAGGCGTACACTGCTGTTAGTTCGTTAATTTCTTGGTCTAGTTGATTGAGCAATAATAAAACCTGAAACAAGAAAAAAAACACAAAGACTTTCCTTTAAAATACCTTTTCAGTTGGGGCGAGGGAGCAGATTTTCCTTATTCACAGCATGTGCGATTGCCTTGAGTATTATTTTTTTGTTTAATAGTAAAGCTTGGAATCGTATCCCCCAAAGTCCGGTTAATCAAGTTTTTTAAACCCTGATTAAAATCTAATAAAACTGATAGAGGGGAACTTTTGATGGACTTATTTCCCATACAGATAGAGGTAGTAGTGATAGAATTAAGATAATTTCAAATTTTATAAACACCGTGGATCTGGGAAGTTAAAGTGGCTCAATTGTTCGCGTCAAAGAAGAAAACTATTCTCTCCATTAACACACAAAGGGGAAAATATATTTTCAATTTGTGCTCTCCCTTTATTATTATTATTATCAATATCTTTAGCCTTTTTTTCCTGCCACAAGTAGATGTTTTGGCGCCAAAACTATGCAAGCGCGTGACAGAACTGCTACGAGTGGGCGAAGGTTTCCGACAATCTGCCGAAGTAGAGACCCTAAAGACATTACTTCGGTGATGAACAAAAATTTCTTGTACTCCAAATAATTACCAGCTTTTTCTTGGACGACAACGGACTGATCATCAATATTATTCAAACCTTAAACTTCAGTCAAATATCTTGCTAGATACGTAAATTAGGCTAAGAAAATCTCCCAAGTGGACCCCATAGCTGGACCAGATTGATTCAACAAGAGTTTCAGCGTCTTTAACTAAACATGAGATGTTATATTCTTCTCGAGGAAATAAAAAAATTAAGGAACAATTGAAGAACTCATTAGCAAAACACCTGCATCAACATTTAGCTTAATTTTGCTTTTAAGTAAGCAAATCTAAGATGAAATAAATGTTTGCGAAATAGCAAAGTTGTGAGCAGTAAATACTGTTCTGGTTATACCCAAAAGACTGATCCTTGGGATCGTAATTTTCCCCCGTAATTTTTTGGTTTAATTGTGACGCTGCGTGACCAAGATCATTTCCCAAGGCTATCGCAGTTTTTATAGATATCGAATAATACATACTAGCAAGTTTAAATGGTTCGTATTTGAAGCGTCTTTAGGTTAAGCACCCCCTATCAAGCAGATGTTCTGGCTGAAAAACGAAGAAAACTAGTATTTCGTGGCCCATTTTATGTTTTGCTCTTACGATGTTTCTTAAGATCGCGGGGGGGATTTTTTATCTATTGCGAAAGAACATCGGAAGGGTTTAAGTTGCACGAATCGTCTCATCAACCTCCGGTATCTCAATCTTTACTATAAACAAACGAGTATATTATCAGAGCTGATATGAACTTTACAAAGACTAAGAGAGAGAGAGAGAGAAAAAACGGATTCTATTCAGTTGAAAACCCCCAACGTGACCAAAAGACTGACTTCGAATCGCCAAAGTATATTCTTGTGTTTTGACAGTTAGGATGGTTCCGGCATTAACATCAAGTGTGTTTGCTTGGTGACATGGATTTCAACCCGTTTATTGACTAAGAATTCTCGCTACGTGAACCCAAAGAATTGCAGAAGTCATTTCTAGAGATGCGTCGATATCTCTCTACTGAGACGAGTACTTGGTTCTGAGATAATCCAAATTGTTCCTAACACTAAAATTAAACTACTGCCTTTTTCCCAGCTGCCGCAGGCTTTAAACTGCATTTTTAGTCATTTAGCTCAGCTTTCCTCAATTTCAAAAACTGAATTCATCATGATTGACTCATTAATTAAAATTTGAACGTTAAATGCAACTCACGAAAATTGATCGCTTTACAAAGGGTGGAAAATAAGCTAAAAGCTAGTGTTTCAATTTTATTTTAAGCAGTTGAGTTTATTACTATTTGAGGTAGAAAACGTCATGGTTCTTTTTTAGTATGAATATAGGAGTTGGGCAACACCACTCGATGAAAATTACCAAAGAGCAACAAATTGGATTTTCCGGGCTGATCATATCTGAATAGAGTTGAACCATTTAGTTCCGCTGCCACAGAAAAAAAAACTAATGACCAACTTTCAGGTTTGGACTATTTTCATCAGTTTTCCCGGCAACTCATTAGAATGAAAAAATTAATGGCATTTTGCACGAAGAACGCAACGGTAAAAACGCAGATATAACACAAATAAGATACAATAAGTGGGGAAAAAAATCATATATATATATCCCTCGAAATAGTTTGTATTTACATATTATTTTGAACCAGTTCACCTACCATTACTGGAGTCCAGGTTAGATAAAACAGCGTCCCTAAAACGAAAACGAGCTTGCTAAAGACGACTACAGATGGCCGATCTAGTCTCCCGGTACACGAAGACTCGAAGCTCAGGCTTCCCCGTGGAAAGCGACCTTTAAAATCTTTCAGAACCTTGATCACCACAAAGTTACATACAAAAACTATTACCAGGGTTGAAGATCCTAGGATAAGTACGAATGATGGGTAGATCCGTTCTTGAAAAGTGGAAGCTTTTGAGATGAAAATACAAGGGCAGTAGGTGAATGGCACTCGGATGCCATTGTTGGCGAGTTTCATCAGAGGCATACTCGATATGACAAGAGCAGTGCAACAAAGGATTCCAATCAAGACTTTGACGCGGTGGATCTTCCTTATCACTGCCCTTCTGTAGTATACTGGCTTGATCAAAGCAAGGTAGCGGTCAAGAGACATGCTCGTCACCAAGAGCATGGCGTTTATCTGGAACCAAAAAATACCAACTTGATAAAGCTGGCATCCGAGCTTAGTACCGACCCAATGTCCCATCAACAGTGTCGGTATACCAAGACCTAGAGGAATAGCAACTGAAAATAGATCGTTGACGGCTAGAGCCCCGACGAAGTAGTCGGTGACGGTTCTGTTGCGAGCCTTCTTGATAAAAAATACAGCTAGTGCCGGCAGTACGTTGCCAACGAATGTCGCAGCTTCCAAGAGAATCGTTATGAGTCCGGAGACATCTACTTGGATCGTTGAAGGATGTTTCGCTCTCCTGGTCCATCTGAATGAAGATCCATTCATTTTTCAAACCCTTTTAGTCTACATCCATTGCCGAGTCTGCATGCGTCGACTGATCGATGCTAACACCAGATAACGTACCTGTATCTGAAAAGTATTATCAAATAATCAGCCTGAGACGGAAGGCACTCTATTCATGCCAAACTTAGAACTGAATATAAAACTTCATTTCCTAACTCAATTGCCAGTCAGTTTGTTTAAAACTAATGATAAACTAATACATCACTCTGGCTGCATTACTCTCAGTCATGCATGGTTCGAGAATAGACTGATAAACGTACTTACCTCACTCACACATACAGCTTTGTACTCCAGCACGTCTTGCAATAACGTTTTCCACAAGTCTCAGTGTATCGATATCCCACGCAGGATCCAGAAATCCACTTGTCCTTTATCCAGTTACAAGAATATATGTCACCCAACCGTTACATGACCAAAATATCAATATTGTGCTTCTAATTCATCACGTGCCAGTCATAAAGAAGCATAAAAAACGCGCGTGAGCATTAATTTGTTTTTATCTCCAGAATCTTCTGATTGGTTGAACACAGCCAATCAGAGAAAAACGTAATGTTCGTTATGAGGTATCGGCCTCAAGACATGTGCATTCTAGCTCTTTCTTAACGAGGGAAGCGGCTTGATTGCAACAAGCTAATTCAAAAACTCATCAATAATTCATAAGCTTTTGGACCAATCCGATGGTGCGTTTCATCTCACGTGAACGTAAACCTAGCACACTGAAAATGACTGGAGGGTTTTCAAAAAAAAAATCTTTGTTGTGATCAAATATCCTTAAAGATACCAAATCGCTAATTTCATGTTCCCTATGATACGACGAGCGGCATCCAGGATACTTTTATATACTTTGTGTCTCTCCCCTCTCTAGTCTTTGGAGTTTCGGGTTCTTTTCTCATGTGAGCAGGGTTTGTTAGGTCTTAATCTTGATTCGAGAGGCTCTTTTCCGAGTTCTTAATACAGTCTGATTTTTCTCCCTCCTCAAAACCTACTTAACAAGGTAAAATCTATATCGAGCTGTGAGTTCAGACATGAGTCTGTCAGACTGTTTCAAGTATCGCGGCTTAAATGTAAGTTTTTTAAATCTCACAATCAACAAGCATCTTCTTTTGCCCGACGCATCATTCTCTTGACAGAACGATCGAGTACAAAGACCAGTTTTCATATGCTTGCCAGATATTTTTTTCGAAAACCTCGACTTTTTGAGCCTTTTTTTTTTTTTACATCATAAATTTGTTTTCGACATTTTTTTTCATATCTTCATTAGAATAGCGAGTTGCACCGGACGTGTTGAGTCTTGTCCATTTATTTCGTTTTTCAGATCCGCACACTGTTTGAAACGCTAAAATTAAATTAGAATCAAAATCAAAAATATCCCCCCCCCCTCCCCCC